CGCGCCGCTCCCCGGCTGCATGCCCGCCGCCGCCGCCGCTGCTGCGGCTGCTGCTCCTAGCACTTGCCGTCCGCGGGACGTACGCCGCGCCCGCGCCCCGCGCCGAGGACCTCAGCCTGGGGGTGGTGAGTTCGCGCCGGGGGAAACTGAGGCGGGGCCCGCGCGGGGCTAGGTGAGGTAAGCACCGAGCGGCTCGGGAGGCCGGCGAGCGGGCACTTTCCTACCGGGTCTGGCAGAGCGCGAGGAGGCATCGGAGTCCCGGGCCTCCCGGCAGGCGCCCTCGGTGCTGCGCTTCGGACGCGAGGCTCGGGTGGTAGCGCAGCCCCGGCGGCAGGGCCGTCCGGTGTCTCGGGCCCGACGTGCCACGGGAACAGCTGAGTCCACGGGGCGCGGAGCCCACCCTGCGCGGGCCTGCCTGTGGCCCGGGTGTGCGCTCCGCTCCGCCGCCGTCCCGTCTGTCCCAGCACTGCCTGTAGGCACCGAGGCCCAGAACCAGCGTCCGGGCAGCGTCCGGATCGCGGCGGGGTCTCCGGACGGGCGGGCGCTGGGGGTCGCAGCCTGGGAAGTTTCTCCTGCCTAACCTGAGGCTGTGCGGGCAGCGCTGCCTGGCTCCCCTGCCCCGGGTCTGCGTCCTCGCTCTCGGGTGGGGCGGCCCTGAGCAGGAGACGGACCTTGGCGTGCAGCCCGTGGGCGAGGACCAGGATCCCGCAGCAGCGCCCAGTCGGGCACCCAGCCAGGCCAGGACCCTCCCGGTGCAGATTGGCCGCACGCAGCTCCCAGCGCGGCGGGGGGCGCCCTCTGGTGGCCCTCGGAACTGGGAGAGGTGGGTGAGAGCTGGGGGCTCCCCGGCCTCCACCCTGAGGGGCGCCACCGCCCTGATCTCCACTCAGAGAGAAGGGCGCCTTTGTGCCTGAGGCTCCCAGCGGCCGGGAGGGGCCACGCCCCTGGGTCCTCTCCAGAGCACAAAGCGAGGATTGAGGCCCGGGCCCCGGGGTGCGCGCAGGAGCCGTGCTGGAGCTGGCAGGAGAGCCGCTGCGCCCTCCCGCTGTCCCCGAAGGGGAAGGCATCAAGGAGTTGGGGCCGGCTGCTGCACGAGGTCAGGGCCAGGAACACCCCAACCCTGCTCCTGTCACTCTCAGCGGGTCCGGGAAAGCGTTCCGGAAACCATCTGGGTCCTCCTGATTTTCACTGTTCCCCTCATTGTCCCCCTCGTGGACGTCACAGCCCTCCAGGACATGGGCTCTAGGACCTGGTGAGCCTCCGAGGTCTCAGGGGTCAGCTGGGGGCAGGGTGATGACCCCTGCAGGGTGCAGCCAGCCCTGCACAGCCCTGCACTCAGAGCCTGTCATCTGCAGCCTCAGAGCCCTGCACCCCTGGCTTCCCTTATGGAGACACCTGCAGGGAAGATGTTCCAGAGGGCTGTATAGGAAACAGCTGTGGAAGATTTTGTGGCAACCCCAGTGACCATGCTGGGCTCCCGGCACAGCTGTCCCAACACGGAGAGCTGGGGACAGTGGGTTGCTGCTGAGGAGAGGAGCAGATCTCCATGTCCTGGTGGCTGCCTGTGTGGCTTAGGGATGCACGGACCCATGGGGGCACAGGGTGGTACAGTAGACACACAGGGACTTGGGGAGCCCAAGGGCTTCCCCTGGCCCAGTGAAAGCACCCTGTCTGGCCCGCCACGTGCCATTCCCCTCGACCCCTGGATGTCTGGGCTTGGCGCCTAATGCTTCCCTACTGTGAGTGCTGCCTAGGGCTCGCTCGTCAGCGTCACACCAGCCCTGTGTCACTCAGCACGACTTCCCTGAGTTCCCCCACATCCCAGCAGCTGCACGAGGGACGCCGGGAGGAGCCATGCTCCTCATGGACCGTGTGTCTGCTAGCCAGTGCTCGGACCACTCTGGGCCTTAGTTTTCTCCTCTGTAAGACAAGGTGGCAGTGGTGCCCGCAGCCCTGTGTGAGCACGTTGCATGCTGAGTTCAGGGGACTGCAGCACCCCTTGTGTCCCAGGCATGTGGTGGAAGGGCTAGGGCACTGCTTCCCCATGCAGTGGACAAACAGCAGAACGGGCCCCGGGCCCCATAGTGCGCACCTAAGGACAGGCCGTGGGCGCTCTGGGGCCAGGCAGGGTTGGCACCGTTGTTGGGGCCTCATGGTCCACAGCTCCAGCAGCAGCTGAGCTCTGTGGCTGGGCAGGTGACACTGGGGCCACAAGGCATGGTTTGGTAAGGGTCCATGGCAGTGAGTCCTGCCACTGTGGTCATGCCGCCTGGTCCTGCAGTGGCCCCCCAGCCTATTTCCGTATCTGTGCGTGGGCGCCAACGCCCTTGCCCCTGGGTCACAGTGGGGACGGGGACTAGGAGGTGGGGAAATAGCACAGCCATGGCAGAGGCCTTGCTTGCTGGAGATTTGCTGACATCACAGAAGGGACTGGTGGTGCAGGTATCGGACTCCTGAGAGCTGTAGAGACGTGTGTTGTGTCGGTGGTGACCAGTGGGACCAAAGCTGGAGCCTGGGGGCTGGTGCAGGGGCCAGGTGTGGATGCCATTCACCTGTGCCTCGGCCTCAGTAACCCCATGACCCTGCCCCAAAACTCTGTACACAGGGGTATCATGGCCACCACAGGGTGAGCTCGCGCTCCTCCTGGGGCCTTCTGGAAGGTTCACCCTGCACCACACACAGCCCGCCTCCTGCAGCCTCCGTTGCCCTGGAGACAGCGGTCGTCTCTGTGGCGACAGCAGGGAGGACCGCGGGCAGTGATCCGGTGGGACAGGGTACATCGGGGTGGTGGTCCCTGTGTTCCAGGTGGGGCTGGCGGGCACCTCCCAGGCTGCCCCTGTTGGGGAGTGATCCCCACAGTTCTCCCCAACCCCCAGGTGTCAGGTGGTCTAGCTCAGTTACTACCCAGGGGGCCTGTGTGTCCGTCCAGCACACGCCCTGGCCCCCACCTGTCCACACTCAAAGAGTCCCAGAGTGGCAGCACACAGGTGCCAGGTGTGAGGAGGCTGGGCCATGGGGGACATGCAGTAAGCTGGCCACCAGCTGCCACTGTGGTTCATGGGCCCATGGGGTCTGGGCCAAGCGGAGGCCGTGCTGGTCCCGAAGCTTCTGGCTCTGAGCCCTGGGCAGAGGACAGGCTTGTCCTTGTCACATCCCACCGGGTCTTCCTGGAGGAGTGCTGGGCCCCGAGACTCCACCTGTGCCCCACCCCCGTCCCCACCCCAACTCTGGGAAGGAGTGTGCGCCACTTCCTGGCGCTGCAAAAGAAAAGTGCAGAATCAGAACTTCTTAAAGCTTTGTAAAACTTGAGAAAGGAATGTGGAGACTTGCTGCCTGCCTCTCACACTGTATCTGCCCGTGGTGCCTAGCGACTGGGCCACTCGTGGAGGCTGTCACTGACCCGACAGCCTGGTGTGCACAGCCAGGGAGGCCCCACGCCCAGGCCCACCTACCCAAGGCTGAAGAAACCCAGCCTGCAGGGTCGCTGCTGCCCACAGACACTGGGCAGTGCCCAGCCCACCCACCTCCTTGTGCTAAGAGGACAGAGCTCGACCCCACCCCCGTCACGGTGTCCCAGCTCTCAGAAGCTCCCACTGGGCCCATGCCCTGATCCTGCCAGTCCAGAGGAGGCCAAGGAGGGCGCTCAGAGTACCCCAAACCTGCTGAAGCCACCCTCTGCTGGCTCGGGGTCACTGGGCTGCCTGGGCGCCCGCAGCCCCAACCCAGTGCTCCGGGGTGCCGAGTACCTACACTGTAAGAGGACCCCAAGTCCAGCACAGTCAGCAATGTGGCCAGGGCCTACCCCCTTCAAATAAAACGGCTTTTTAGGCCCAGCCACCCGGGCATGGTGGCACATGTCTGTAATCCCAGCACTCGGAAGTCAAAGCAGGAGAATCTCTGTGAGTTCCAGGCCAGCCTGGGCTACACAGTGAGACCCTACCTCAAAAACAAATAGACCCTGGGTTCAGTCCCCAGTACAAAAAAAAGAAAGAAAGAAATTTTAGAAGTTTTTGGTTTTGTTTTGTTTTTTGCTTTGAGTTATTCGTGTGTGTACACGCGCGCACACGCGGCACACATGCATGTGGCTGGCTAAGCCTGCCCTGGGGGTGGGGCTGGCGTGGCATGTGGTGCTGGGGATCGAACCACAGTACCTGCGCTTGCCTAAGAGGTACTTAGCTATCTTGCCAGCTCCTGATTTTTGCTTTGAGATAAGTTCTCATTAACCTGCTTAAATTGCCAGACTACTGGGATTACAGGACTGCACCAGCCCATGCAGGCAGCTTCACTTTATCAGAGTCCCCTGGGCATTTCACTGGCCCAGGAGGTGTGACAGGGGGCAGCACCCTGTGAGCAGTGGTAAGGTCATGTGCTGTACAAGCCCAGCCCTACGGATGGGCACCAGGTAGATTAAAGGCCTACAAAGGGTCTTCAAGGAAGAAGCCTGCTGCGGCCATGCCGGGGTGTGGGCTCCTCCCCCGGGGGCACACCCCAGCCCCTCCCTCTGCTCTGTGCCCTAGGAGTGGCTGAGCAGGTTCGGCTACCTGCCCCCAGCCAACCCTGAGACTGGGCAGCTGCAGACGCAGGAGGAGCTGTCCAAAGCCATCTCAGCCATGCAGCAGTTTGGGGGCCTGGAGGCCACTGGAGTGCTAGGTCAGTCCTGTGCCCCGACCCCAGCAGCTCAGGGCCGGGCGCGTGAGCCCCACCCAGGCCTTAGCCACGCCACCCGCCGCTGCCTCTCTGCAGACCCTGCCACCCTGGCCCTCATGAGGACACCGCGCTGCTCCCTGCCGGACCTGCCCTCGGGGGCTCCGGCCCGCCGGAGGCGCCAGGCCCCGACCCTGACCAAGTGGAGCAAACGGAACCTGTCCTGGAGGTGGGCGGCCGGGCGGGGCCTGGGGCCCAGGGTTGGGGTGCAGGTGGGGCTGCGGGGGCCCTGCGGCTGCACCATCGCGGCCTCTTGGTCCGGACGCCCCGCGTCCCCTCCTGTCGCCGGCGGCCGGCTGCAAGCAAAGGCTGAGCCCGGCCCTCCCCAGGGTGCGCACGTTCCCGCGGGACTCGCCGCTGGGCCGGGACACGGTGCGGGCGCTCATGTACTACGCGCTCAAGGTGTGGAGCGACATCGCGCCCCTCGACTTCCACGAGGTGGCAGGCAGTGCGGCCGACATCCAGATCGACTTCTCCCGCGCGGACCACAACGACCGCTACCCCTTCGATGGCCCGGGTGGCACCGTGGCCCATGCCTTCTTCCCCGGCGACCACCGGGCCGCGGGTGACACCCACTTTGACGACGAGGAAACCTGGACCTTCCGCTCCTCGGGTATGTGGGGAGAGGCCGGGGTTGGGGTGCTGAGCGCCCCGGAGTGCTGGACAGGCCGCCGACACTATCCAGGGGCGGCCTGGACACCCGCGACCCAGGGTCTGGGGACACCTGGAGTGTGCTCTGGGAGCGGGCTCAAGTGGCTGCAAGGGCTGGAGCGCCCCCTGGTGGCCGTGTACGGAAAAGGCAGCCGGTCTCAGGGGCGCACACCTGGGATCCCAGCCCTCTGGAAGCTGAGGCAGGAGGATCTTCAGTTTGAGCCCAGCGTGAGCAACTTTGCAACTTAGCAAGACTAAATTTTAGGGGCCGGGGAGATGGCTCAGTGGAATAAGTGCTTCCCTGGCAAGCACAAGGGCCTGAGTTCAATCCCCCGGTTCCGCAAAAAAAAAAAAAAAAAGACTAAATTTTAAAGGGAGGGATGGGGATGTGGCTCAGTATGAAACTCCTGGCTTGAGCTGCAGGACTCAAAATCCAAAAGCCCCAAAAGGTGGTCCCCCAAATGCTATCGACCTGGGGAGTGGTATAAGCCACACTGCACTGGTGGCCCAGGTTGGTTGCCCCAGGGCGAGCCCTAGCTGGCAAGCGGTACAGCCCAGGGCTCACATGTCCCTGTCCCCAGATGCACATGGGATGGACCTGTTCGCGGTGGCTGTCCACGAGTTCGGCCACGCCATCGGGCTGGGCCATGTGGCCGCTACCAGCTCCATCATGCAGCCCTACTACCAGGGCCCCGTGGGTGACCCGCTGCGCTACGGGCTGCCCTACGAGGACAGGGTGCGCGTGTGGCAACTGTATGGTGAGTGGGACCCGTGGGTGCAGGGAAGGAAGGCTGCAGCTCCCACCCTTCCTCGCCTGGGGCTGCCTGCAGGCCCAGATGCTGACCACTGGGGGAGCGCAGGTCAGAGTGTCCTGGGCCACCGGGCCCACGCATAGTGGGAGTGTGGAGGCACAGGATGAGGGACAGCCCTCCAAGGACAGAGGCAGGATGACCCCTGAGGAGGGCACACGGCCAAGACTTCTGCCGGCGTGTTGGCACACACCTGGGGTGCCAGCACTCAGGAGGCTGAGGCAGGAGAATCACCTCAAGCCCAAGGATGGCCTGGAATCCTTAGCAAGACCTGTCTCAAGTACAACAGCCAAGTTTCCAGCAGTGCCCAGCTGAGGCCCCTCCCTGCTGTGACACCTAGGCCTAAAGCTGACAGCCCTGCCACGGGGTGAACGCTCACGTAGCTTGTGGCTATGCACACTCAGGACCCCCACCCCCCCCCGTGGTTGCGACTCCTTCCCCGCTGCTCCACGCCCTTGTTTGGTGGCCTTTGTGCTGCAGGGTGGCCAGCGTGGTGCCCGGCTGTTCCCAGGCAGGGCAGGCATGGCAAGAGCTGGGACCAGGCACATTCAAGTCCCCGAGGTGCTGGCCCAGCTCTGAGGCTGCGCAGGGTGCATGGTGCCCCCAGGCCTGGTACATGCATGCCAGGTCAGTGCCTCCTCCTGTCTTCCCAGGAGTACGGGAGTCCGTGTCCCCCACGGCACAGCCCGAGGAGCCTCCCCTGCTGCCAGAGCCCCCCGACAATCGGTCCAGCACCCCGTAAGCTGCAGCCCCATCACAGTGTCCCAGCCTGCCCACCCCTGGAGGGGGAGGCACAGCCCAGAACTCTGGGTTCCCCTTCCCTGTGCCCTTGCCTGAGGGCCTGGGTCACCTTTCTTGGTCCTTGCATGTGAGCATCACGCTGTCCCTGGCTTTTCTTCTGCATTTGACGAGGTAGAACACAGTGTCCTGCATGACAGGCGAGCGCCCACCCTCGTGCCCGCGCAGCCAGCAGCTCTGGCCACGGCCCTGGGTTCTCTGCTTGCGCCACCAGCAGCCTGGGGCAGAGCCTGGGGCAGCCACATGGCTTCCTCCGAGGCCGCCACGCCAGGCCGGCTCAGAGCTGGGTGCCTGCCCCACACCCTGTGCCCCTCAGGCCCCAGAAGGATGTGCCACACAGGTGCAGCACCCACTTCGATGCGGTGGCCCAGATCCGGGGCGAGGCCTTCTTTTTCAAAGGTCAGCAGAGAGGAGGCCAGGGGAGGGGAGGTGGACTCCCGGGCCACTGTCCGCACCCCGCCCAGCCCCTCTGTGTCCCCAGGCAGGTACTTCTGGCGGCTGACACGCGACCGGCACCTGGTGTCACTGCAGCCGGCACAGATGCATCGCTTCTGGCGGGGGCTGCCCCGGCACCTGGACGGCGTGGACGCCGTGTATGAGCGCACTAGCGACCACAAGATCGTCTTCTTCCGAGGTGGGCAGGCGCCTCCCAGTCAGGAGCCCGGTGCAGACCGGTGCCGATGCACACTGAGCAGGCCGGGCCCACAGGTGGGAGGCATGCGGGCAGCGCAGCAGGGATGGGCATGCAGCCTCTGCCGAGGTCCCCGCCTGAGGCAGCCCAGGGCCTGGCCACTGGGTCCCCCCAGCTTTATCCAGCTCCAGTTCTGCGTCCAGGCAGAAATGCAGAGGCAGGAGGCAAGCAGCCATGAGCCACCTGGCTCCGTGCAGGCAGGAGCCAACTCGCCTCGCTGCCAGGCCTGGCGCCTGGGGCGTGTGGGCGGCTGGTGGGCCTCGTCCCCAGTAGGGACACTGGAGACCCATGTCCAGCCCCTAGAAGACTCGCTGAGGAGGAGGGGCATCCATGTCAGCTCTGGGGCCTCCTCATCTGCCTGCTTGCCACGCAGGCTTAACGTTGGCACTTGCCCCCACGACGCTGCCAAGACGGCCCCTCTGAGGAGGAGAGGGGGCCCCCGTGAGCACACAGCTCTTGAGTCTGCCTGCCCAGAGCAGCCGTGTGCCCCAAGAGAGGGGCTCAAGGCCCGCAGTGCAGACCTCCGCAGTTTCTGTCCCCTGGGTGCCGCCCTGCCTGTGCCCCACCCGCACTCTCCAGAGGTGGCATGGCACACAGCTGCAGCCCCAGCACTCAGGAGGCTGAGGCAGGAGGGCTGCCGGGAGGTTCCAGCCACCCAGGGAGTTCAAAACCAGTCTGGACTACTAGTGGGACCGTCTTTTAAAAATACAAACAAGAGGCTGGTGAGATGGCTCAGTGGTCTAAAGCACCTACTCAGAACAAGCTTAGCAAAGCACAGGGACCGCGGTTCAATCCCCCAGCACCACACGCCAGCCAGCCCCGCCCCCTGGTGGGCTGAGCTGGCCACACACACACAAATAATTAAATAATTTTTAAAAATAAAAGTACAAACAAAAGACTGTTTTATAGCCAGGTATGGAAAGGTGCTCCTATAATCCCAGCACTCTGGCAGGCTGACAGAAAAAGCACAAGTTTGATCCCGGCCTGAGAAACTTAGCAAGACCCTGCCTCAAAAATGAAATAAGAGGGGCCGGGGAGATGGCTCAGTAGAATAAGTGTTTCCCTGGCAAGCACAAGGGCCTGAGTTCAATCCCTGGTTCCGCCAAAATAAATAAATAAGCACTGGGACATACCTCAGTGCGTACACTCTGGGTTCAATCCCCTGTACCACAGAACAAAGGTATTTAGGAAAAGAAAAGTTGGGGGCAGAGCCCCACATGCAGGAGTGCCCAGGGCCCCGACGGGCAGTGTGGGCAGGGGTGGCCCCGGGGTGCCCTGCGGATGCCAGCCTGAGCACAGCTTCTCTGGGGCCGCAGTTCCCGGGGAGGCTCTGCAGGACCTGTGAGTGCGCCCGGGCGGCGTCCACTCACTCCGTTTCCTCACCTCATGCCAGCATCCTGGTCCCCCCAGTGCCCACCCTGGGCCAGACCCCAGCCCCGTTTTCATTTTCCATGGTGCTAGAAACTGACATTTAGCAAGGCAGCCGTTCCGGTGCTGCTTGCAGCCGAGGCCTCGCCCACGCCAGCAATCTGCTGGGAGCCGCGCCGCAGCTGCGCTCTTCAGCGTGAGGCGCGATCCCCTAAAACGCCTGCGCTGGCCTCTAGCAGGGCCCTCTTGCCTCAGCCTCCTGAGCAGCTGTGATGACAGGGCCCTGTGCCCGGTCACTGTAACCACTTGGTGTTGGGCACAGCTGGTGCTGGTGCCATGTGGCTGCGCACAGAGCTCTTCCGCTGACCCTCAGCCCTTAAACCTGGGCTCCCCACCCCTCCTGCTTTCTGTCTGGTGCGTTCCGTGGCCAGACTGCCCGGGTGGGGGGGTCACACAGACTCATGCTTTTTTGGGGGGGGGAACTAGAGACTCTCCCCGGCCCCCCAGACCCATGCCTTACAGCTGCCCACGCATGGGGTCAGAACGTGCCCTCCGTCCCCTCGCCCTTCCACGCTGGCTGTAGGCTCTGCGCACCCCGGGCAGAGCCTGGAGTTCAGGTCCCTGCACACTGCGGCACCCCCAAGGGCTTCCTGGCCCTGCCCCGGGCTCGGAGGTGCACTGCTTCCTGCTGACTGAGGCATGAGAGACTTGTCCCGCACTCGCTGGCCATGGGACATCTTGGGGGTCTGGTGTGGTTCTGGGTTTGTGAGAGGAGGTCTCCTTGTGCAGCACAGGCCGCCTGAGCCTCGCCCCACCCTCCCGTCTCAGCCTCTGGTGTGCAGGATGACACGTCTTTTCTACAGACACCAAGCTTTTGTCTGGCTTGTGGGTTGTGGGGCCTCCACCGTAACTGTCCCTGGGTCCCCCGGTGCCCCGTAAGGGTGCCCAGAGTAGAACTGCGTCCTGGGACAGACTGCATCCTACCCTGTGCCATGCCAGGCACACAGCAGATGTTCAGTAGCCATCTGGGGTGACGTGGCAGCCAGCTCAGCCTGGGGTTGAGTGGTGGGCAGAAGAGCCCCTGCCCTGGGGTGGCTGTGCCTCAGCGCCCCTCCCTCCTCCCCCAGGAGACAGATACTGGGTGTTTAAGGACAACAACGTGGAAGAGGGGTACCCACGGCCCATCTCCGACCTCAGCCTCCCGCCAGGTGGCGTGGACGCGGCCTTCACCTGGGCCCACAATGACCGGACCTACTTCTTCAAGGACGAACTATACTGGCGCTACGATGACCACACGCGGCGCATGGACCCCGGCTACCCCGCCCAGGGCCCCCTGTGGAGGGGGGTCCCCAGCAGGCTGGATGATGCCATGCGCTGGTCGGATGGTGAGCTCAGCCACACTGCCAGCTGGGGTCCCCTGAGCCCAGGGACACTCCCTCCCGAGTTCCTCAGCCCTGTGACCCCCAGAAAGGATTTCCACAGATGCCACTCTGCCTCCCTCGCTGGTCCAGCCCTGCTCAGAGCCTTCCTGTGCCCCCAGACCAGAAATGCCCCCCCAGTCAGCTCTGCCACCCCAGGAAGTTTCCTCATCTCCAGGGCCACGGCACTGGGCACAGGGCAATGCAGAAGAGCTGGGCATGGAGGTGGGTGCATGCTGGTAACCCCAGCACTCAGGAGGCTGAGGCAGGAGGTCGCTGGGAATTCAAGGACAGCCTGGACTACATAGTGAAGCCCTGTCTTACCTAGTGGAAGTGACCCGGCCCTGCAGCCGCTCCCCCAGCACGCTGGCCTAAGTCGGTCTGTGGCTGCAGCGGCCCCCGCCATGCTGTCCGAGCAGTTTGGGGTCCCTGCAGCTGTCCCAGCTGCCCCCTCGATACCTGCTGTTCAGCTGCCCCCTCTCTCCCAGGGGCCTCCTACTTCTTCCGTGGCCAGGAGTACTGGAAAGTGCTGGATGGAGAGCTGGAGGTGGCACCTGGGTACCCGCAATCCACAGCACGGGACTGGCTGGTGTGTGGGGAGCCACGGGCTGGCGTGGGTGTGGATGGGCCACCAGCTGGGCCTCAGGGTCGCAGCGGGGCCCAGGATGGCCTGGCCGTGTGCTCCTGCTCTGCTGCCGGGCGTGCGCTGCCCCTGCTGCTGCCCCCGCTGCTGCCCAGTGCCCTGGGTGCCCTGGCCCGGGGCCCATGAGACCTGGGGGGCTGCTGCCTCCAAGATGCCTGACCGGTCTGTGCGACCCAAACGTGCCCCCCTGGAGAGGCCTCTGCCCGCTCTACCTGGGTGCGCTCTTGACCCTGGCACTGCCCACCTCACGGCCCTCGGGGTCCTCCGTCCCAGGGTCACAGCAAGATGGACAGGAGGAGCCTGGTGGGGAGCTGGCGCCCACCACTGCAGCAGAGGGCATGCACGTCCCTGCTCGGTGGCTGCTCCCTGGAGACCCCGCTGCACCCTGGAACCTCGGCGCCCATCCCCAGAGGGGACCCTCCCTCCGCAGCTGCACCCAGCCTTCCTGTGAGACCCCTGTGACCACCCCGGCCGCCTGGAAGGGACCCCCCGGGCCACAGAGCAGGAGTGGTGTCAGGAGGAAAGCGAGGGCAGAGCAGGCAGAGCCCTGCACCTGGGACCAGGACAGGACTGCCACCAAGGCGTAGGGGGACAGGGGGCTGGGTGGAGACAGCAGCCACACAGGCCCTGCGGGGAGACAGGTCCACCCAGCCCTCCTTCAGGGAGAAAGGCATCAACTCTCGCTGGAGCCCACTGGCAGGACCTCCACACCCAGTTGCACGCCCCGCCCCATGTGGGACCCCGCCAGGCCAGCAGTTCCCATCCCTCTGCCCACACCACGGTCCCTGCCCACATCCACAGCCGCTGGTCAGGTGCCCTCCGCACAGGAACCGTGTACTCCTTTGTCATGGGGACCAGAGTGGCTCCCACGCCAGCATCGCTGTGGTTCTATGGCCCAAACTCTAATAAAGTTTTCTACTGGCTGGGTGTCCTGTGGTGGCCAGGATGTCATGCCTGAGCCAGTGGGGGGACTCCGGATGAGGCCTTGGGTGGCCCTATCTTGGTGTCCAGCAGAGTATGTGGTACCAGAAACCCTTGCCTGGGCCACGCTGGACACAGACACCTGACTCCTGCCTCTGCGACCCGGTGTATCCCCCAAAGCCACAGCAAATGACAGCAGTCAGGGTCCTCGTGCCAACTGTGCTCCCCAGAAGGGCCACTGGGTGACCTGTGGTCAGATGTATCCCTTTTACCTGTGACCGTGTCACTTTCCTGGCTGGTGGCCTGAGGTCTCCACCTTGGGTTCTGTGGCCCTAAGAAAACTGTCACCCAGTGTTGCCGTGGACTCTGGCATTGGGTGTATGGAGGGTTGGAGCCTCAGCCACAGGAGCAGCCTAGGTGTGCGCTGGTGACCCAGCCTGGGGACAAGGGCACATTGCCATGGGCTGGGCTGGGAGGCTTAACAAGCAGGGGCTGTCCACCCATGGGATGACTCCAGGACACATCCACCCCAGATCCTCACTGTAGGGGAAAACGAGGCACTATGTTGCATTCTGTCCAGTCCACAGCGTGGGGCCACCTGCTCCCGGGGTCCCCTGCATGAGGTCCTGACAGCCATCGCTGCAGCTACCACCCACAGCCACTGCACCCATGTGCTGAGGTCCCCAAGGCTGTGCGTGGATCCTGTCCAGGCCACACCACTGCTCCAGGCGCAGCTGGGTGACACAGGTGTCGGCTGCCCTCAGGGTCAGGGCAGCTGAGGCACCGGAGTTGGGCTGCTCTGGGGGAGAGGCGGGTCTACATTGTAGCGTGTAAGGGGAGGACATCTGTTGCTGTGACCAGCAGTGACTCGCACTGGAAGCAGGAAGGGGAACCTGGGTGGACCCGTGGTCTGGTGTGCGTGGCGACCTTGTGAGGACTTGTTTTTGCTGAGGGCAGAGGAGGTCCGCTGATGGCTTAGGGAAGGGGGGATTCGGGGCATCTGGGCCACCAAGGCCCCTTGGGCATACCACTCATGCAGAGCCAGGCCTGGGCGCACACCTGCGTCCTAGCACTTGGGAGGCCGAGGTACGAGGTGGCTCTGGGTTCCCTGCCCACCAGGCGTACTCACTGAGTTCACGGGCAGGCTGAGCTACCCAGGAGACTGTCTCAAAAGACAAACAGGCTGAGACAGCCAGCCCGCACACGACCACCACCTCTGTGCGCAGAGCCCTGGGCACTAAATCCACACAGAGCTGGGCTGCCTGCCTGGAGGTGCCACTGCTCACTGGGGCTGTGGTCCGGAAGTCCAGGGTACTGGGGACTGCGTGGCAGTGCCCTGCAGACCAGCTTGGGCCAGGGTGCATCAGCCAGATAGCCTGGCCGTTGCCCTGGGTCTGGGCTGGGACTTGGCCCACGCATCTCAGCTGTGCCACATGGGTCACCGGGAGTGCCAGAAGTCAGCCTGGACCTGTGGCACGAGCGTCCCCAGGGTCCCTCAGGCATACCGGCAGGATGGAGTCCCACTGAAGAGGAACTCACCTTGGCACAGAAGGGTTTCTAAGAAGCAAGGCCTGGTACTTTAGGAGGCCGAAGCAGGAGGATCACAAGTTTACACCCAGCCTGAGCAACTTAGGGAAACGCGGTTTCAGAATAAAAACTGGAAGTGCGGAGATGGGACTTAGTGTGAAGGGCCTGGGCTCAACTCCCAGGTCTGAAAAAGTTTTTGAGGCAGAATACCCCTGCTCACCTTGTGTGTACATGCAGGTCTTTCACAGGTTTTGCAGGGGTAAAATACAGGTCATCCTCATGACTAGAGACCGCGGAGCCTGTGACCTGTGTGACGTCAGCGCTGGCTCCAGGATGCTTCGTGCCTCAGTAGGAAATACTCACTGGCACTTCCTCCCCATCTCTGTCATGCACCTTGCCATCTGTCCCGTGACTGAACATCTTCAGAGAGTGACATAGTGCCTGCCCTTCTGTGTCTCAGCCCACTCCCCCAGTGACACCCTTGCACCTCCACTCTGCAGTCTGATCTTTCTTCGGGGCTGTGTTATACTCTACCACATGCCTTCAGCCCATGTGCTCTTTTTTTTTTTTTGCAGAACCAGGATTGAACTCAGGCCCTTGCGCTTGCCAGGGAAGCGCTTATTCCACTGAGCCATCTCCCTGGCACCCCTGTGCTCTTTATCTGAGCTGTTTCCTACTTCTGACTCTTGAAAACATTTTTTTTCTCTTTTTCTTTTTTGTGGTCAGGTCTCTCCATGTAGTCCAGATGGGCCTTTAACTCACTGTGTACCACAGGCAGGCCTTGACTGCACATGATCCTCCTGCCTCAGCCTCCCAAGCTGGGCTTGCACACATGCACCACCATGCCTGGCTTCTGGGGCTGGAGCCTGCTACGAACATCTGTGATGTGGGTTTGTGGCCAGTTCAGCAGTCTTTCAGAGTGGCAGCATGTGCCTGCAGTCCCACCACACAGAAGGCTGAGGCAGGAGGACCACCGGCTGTCCTGGGCAGTGCAGCTTGTCTCCTACAAGGATGTAAACATGTGCTACACGTTTTCTTTTTTCTTTTTTTTAATTTTTATTTATTTATTTATGTGTGTGTGTGTGTGTGGCCAGCTCAGGCCACCAGAGGGCGCGGCTGGCTGGCATGTGGGGCTGGGGGATTGAACCGCGGTCCCTTTGCTTTGCTAAGCTTGTTCAAATAGGTGCTTTACACCACTGAGCCATCTCACCAGCCCCATAAAATGGCAGAAGTGTTTTTTTTTTTGTTTTGTTTTGGTTTTTTTTGCTCGGAATGCCTTCAAGGCATGACTGGCTGTATTGTGTTGTGGGGATCGAACCACAGCAACCTGAGCCTGACAGCTTGGTGGAAGCAGCCACTTAAACAACTGAGCTAGGGCCAGGCCCCCCACATGTTTTCATAAGAACCACCTAAATCTTACCTTGCCTGCAACCTGCCATTCCCTCTGGGCCTGCACCCAGACCCTAAGATGCAGCCTGAACCCAGACCCACTATGCCGCCCCCAGGAGGTGCCCCCAGGGCCTGGCATCCACCCTGAGGAAGGAAATTCAGCCTTCAAAAGGAGCAACCTGGGGGCCAGGGAGATAGCTCAGCGGCATAAGCACCTGCCTGGCAAGTGCAAGGACCTGAGTTCAATCCCCGGATCTGCAAAAAATAAAGTTGTGGGGGGGCGTACAAGATAGCTTAGTGGTGTAAAGCACCTCATTAGGCAAGCTTAGGTAGGCGTAGGGCACTGCGGTTCGATCCCCAGCACCATGCTGCGTCAAGGTTGACTGGGCCAGATTCCTAGGGGAGGATCCGCTGGCCTTGAACCTGCAGCGCTCTCGCCTTGGCCTCTCCCTGGGGCTGGGAAGGACTGCGCATGTGCTGCTCCACCTTGGCCGGCCAGTCCCGCTGAGGGACAGCCAGGGCTTCACCTACGACACCAGAAGAGCAGCCCGGTGCAAAGGCAGGCCAGGGCCAGGGAAAGCAGAAAAGCAGGGCTGGGTATGGGCCAGGCCCAGCGCCCACCCGAGGAGGACCCTGAGCTTGAGCTCATGCGTAGGAAGGGTGAGCAGCTGAGGGCCCACGCACACCGGCCAGCCGCCCCTCGTGTCCACCCCGGGTTTGTGTTGTTTTCAGCGCTGGGGGGCAGGGAGTGGGGACCAGGGTTGCCCTGTCCCTGAGCTCTGTCCCCAGTCCTTTCTAGATTTTCAGACAGAGTCAAACTAGTTTTTCCACCTGGGCTAGAACTTATGCCCCTCCTGCCTCTGCCTCCCAGAGTCCTGGGATAATGGATATGCACCACCACCTGGGTCAAACAGATATATCTGACTATGTTTTATGTCCTGATTTTGCAGGGCCAGCGGGGAGGAGCTCAGGGCCCCAGGCTGTCCTCCTGCCCAGGTACTCTGTGGGGGCTGTGCCCTGGCCCTGTCCTTTGGAGAGACAGAGTCCAAACTATAGCCTGGCCCTCAGGTCATGTGCTGTGGCTCCTGCCCAGGCTGCCCTTCAAAGCCCAGCATGACCCAGGAGCCTGTGACTGAGGCTCCAGGGCCAGGTCCCTAGACAGCAGAGAAGGCCCCATGCAAGAAGGCACCCAGCAGGGTGACAGGCTGGTGGGCGGGCAATGCCGACAGTCCCCGTGGGTTTCGGTGTCCTTGGGGCAGTGGTCCTGTGCCAGCCACACTGCCCACAACCCCAGGGAGGGTCTGGCCGGACACCCCTGGGATTCCTGTGTCTCCTGTCCCTGCATTGTGTTCCTGCACACCTGCATCCTGAAGCTTTGCCTGGTCAGAGGGCCTGAAACCAGACTGAAGCCAGGGGGCTTCATCCCTAGGAGCCGTGATGCCCCAGGAGTGGCTGTGCCGGGTCCCAGCCCTCTGGAGGCACAGCTCCCTGCTGAGGCCCCTCCTGGCCACAGCCTCTCAGAGCCTGACCCTCCAACAGGGTGGGGACAGCTGCTCTCCAGGTGGCCTGCAGTGCAGTTCACAGGGATGGATGAGGCTGAGGTCAAGAGTGGTGCAAGCCCAGGCAGGGTCCAGCGGTCAGGAAGGAAGGGCTGGCAGGATGCCCCGGGACGCCTGCGCCAGCACAGACCTGGATCTTGGGTCCCAGGGTGCTCAGCACTGCAGCTGCCCCAGACCCTTCCAGACTACAGCTGGCAGGGCTCCAGGCCTTCTGCGCGGCCTGAGATGCGTGACTACCGGCCGTGTCTGTGCACCAAGTGCCCCTGCGAGTGGCAAAGGCCCCAACACTCCAGGACCAGGCCAGCGGCATGGGCTCAGGGACAATGCTAGGGCCAGGCGGGCGCCAGACCCAGCCTGGGTCTGCCCACCACCCGCTGCCCCCGTGCAATCCAGTCTGTGGGTGCGGGCCGCAGGTCCCATCCTTACCTTGGTCGGGACCCAGGCTCAGCCAGCTCAAACCCAAGCCACCGGCACTCCCAGGGCATGGCTCGAGGAATCCACTTGCTGTGCCCAAGCAAGGACATGGAGGCAAAGAGGAGACCAGATGGCCATAGCTTTAAAAATAAAAATTAGGGGGCGGGGAGATGGCTCAGTGGAATAAGCGCTTCCCTGGCAAGCGCAAGGGCCTGAGTTCAATCCCTGGTTCCGCAAAAATAAATAAATAAATAAATAAATAAATAAATATAAAAATTAGTTGCAGGACAGGAACTCAGTTCGTTTATTTTTTTCTCTTTTCCCAAAACAAAACTGGGCCCCACCTGCTGGGCTGGGCTGGGCCTCTCTCCACAGCCAGCAAGGATCTTCAGCTCCAGGCCCGCGGGCTAGCGGCCACGCCCTGACAGGAAGGTGGCCCTCCACCAGACCTGAGACGGGGCATCACCTTCCGCAGAGGAGAGCTCAGCTCCCAACCAGCCTGGCCTCATTCCCGAGCCGACCTCTGCTCAGCCCTCCTGCGAGCCCTCTCCCAGCCCACTTACCAACCTTGCTGAAAGTTCTTTTTCCACCATTCCAGGTTTGGTTTCCTGTTTCGGCTTCAGGGACCTATCAGACGCAGCCTGGTGACACATGGCCTGGCCACTTCTGAGCATTGCATAGGAATAAGATCACGTGTCATGTCCTCTGTCTAATGTTTCCTTTTTTGTATTTGAGACAGGATCTCGCTATGTAGCCTAGGCTGGCCTCTAACTCAGCGCTCTTCCTGCCTCAGCCTCCCAAGTACTGGGATTACAGGGGTTGGCCACCATGCTTGGCTGTTTTTGTTTGCTTACTGAGACAGTCTTGCTAGTAGTTCAGGCTATGATCTTCCTGCCTCAGCCTCTATCACATCAGATTGCCTGGGTTTTTTGGATAGTTTTTTTGGATGGCATGGAGGCAAAGAAACAGGCCGAAAGAAAAAGGGAAAAGGGCTTTATTATTTGTGAGATAACAGGGAGAGAATCTGGGGAAGATAAGGGATTCTCTGAGTTGGAACAAAGGGAGGCTGAGGCTTTCCGGGCCTTTGGCTGAGGGGGGAGTTTCCGATCCCACCCCCACCAGGGATTGAACGCAGGCCCTAGCACCAGCCAGGGAAGCGCTCATTCCACTGAGCCATCTCCCGGCCCTGGCCCTGAGGGTCGAGTTTGAGGGGGAAGTTTAGAAACCCCTGAGGAGCCAGTTGGGGTTTTCCCTGAGGCGGCGGGAAAGGTGAAAGGGAACTGCACCCTGGGCTGGGTTGGAGAAGCGGGGGAGAGGTCTTAAGGCCGCGTTAGATGGCCACCGTAACACTTCAGCAATTCATACTCGGGCCAGAACTTGTAATCTTTCACCCTGAGAGTCTTGGTCTCAGTGATTCTAACTTTCCTTTTTTTCTCTTTTGTCAAGATACTGGAAATTAAGCCCAGGGCCCCTTTACAACTGAGCTACATCTCCTGCCCTTGTTACCATCCCAGCAGCCAGGGGAGTGGCTGAGGTTAGAGGCCTGAGTCAAGGCTCCTGGCTCAGTACTTCTTTAGGAGGGTAGGGGTGTCACGCTAAGCAGTCCAGGCTAACCTGGAACTCATTCTATAGCCCAGGCTGGCCTCAACCACGCAGAGATCCTCCTGCCTCAGCCTGCAGAGTGCTGAGATAACAACCTGTGAGCCTCACCATACTGGCTTTCAATACTTCTTTTAAAAATCAATTTTATGGTCCCGGCCAAATAGCTTAGAGGATTGGAGGATTGAAGGGCCTGTTGATCCCCGGGCCTCCTTCCCTGGGGCTCACTGAGACAGCAACTGAGACTGGGCGTGGTGGTGTGCGCCTATAATCCCAGCTCTTGGGAGGCTGTAAACAGGCAGATCAGTATGAGTCTGAACTAGCAGTGAGACCCTGAACTCCCTGTAGACCCTTCCCTAAACATACAAAAAAAAAGTAATAATAAATAAAATCAATTTTGGGACTGGGGAGATGGCTCAGTGGAATAAGCGCTTCCCTGGCAAGCACAAGGCCCTGAGTTCAATCCCGGTTCGGCAAAAAAAAAAAAAAAATCAGTTTTATGTCTACCCCTATAATCCCAGGATTCTGGGAAGCTGAAGCAGGAAGATTTCAAATTCCAACTGAGTGATTAGAAATTTAGTGAAACCCTGCCTCAAAAGACTAAAAGGGCTGGGGCTGCAGCTGGGAGGCGAAGCACTTGCCTACTTTAGTGCCCAGGATTCTATCCCCACGGCAAAAGGCCCAGCTTCTAGGGAGCGGCAGGGGCGGCTCCCCAGCTCCCTCCCCACCCTTCCCAGCTGCCCAGCCTCAAGCTCTGAGCAGCCCCCGGAGGCAGGAAGGGGAGAGCAACCTCCCACTCCGCAGCTGGCTGGGGCTGGGCAGGGCTGAGGTCACCTTGAACAGTCCACTCAGCCGCACCCGGGGTCCCTGGCCAGGTCCTGCATAGCACCTTTCCGGGGCAGTAACTGAGGCTGTGTGCCTGGCCCTGTGCTGGGAGGTGCCATCTGTTCCCCGGGGTCCACAGCCCAGGTCACAGGTCACTGCTCTGCCTCTCGTACCTGGGCTTTTTCTTTTTCTTTTTGAGAGGAGCTCTCACTATGCAGCTCAGGCTGGCCTTTGACTCGCTTTGCAGCCCAGGCAGCTCTCAAATTGCAAGATCCTCTTGCCTCTGCCTCCAGAGTGCTGGGATTACAGGCGTGCACCCTGATGCCTGGCTGTAATTATTTTATTTATTTTTGGTGGAACTAGAGATCGAACTCAGGCCCTTGTGCTTGCCAGGCAGGTGTGTGTGCTGTTTAGCTGTATCCCCAGCCTTCCTGGGCTTTTCCCCTCTGTCCACCCCATTTTGCTTTGTGGTCTTGGGGCCCTCTGAGACTCCACGCAGTGACACAGCCCTGCCACTTCTGGACACTTCGAAAACAGAGTTGTCATGTCATGTCCTGTGTCTGGCTTCTCCGTGTCTGCCCATGCTAAGCTCTATCCATGGTACTGGCTCACAGTACCGTGATTTTTTTTTGTTTTGGAACCAGTTTTTTTTTTTGGAACCAGGGATTGAACTCAGGCCCTTGTGCTTGCCAGGGAAGTGCTTATTCTACTGAGCCATCACCCCGGCCCTTGGCTCGCTTATTTTGAGGCAGGGTCTCACTCGGTGACCAGGTGGCCTGAACCACCAGAGTGCTGAGTTCCCAGCTTACCAGACCAGCTTCTGCCACTGTTTGGGAAAATGACCCAGATGACAACCCTGCCTTCCCTGGCCATCCCCACCCAATTGCAGCACCATCACACACCCTGGGAGGGTCCCTGGCAGAAGGGTGGTGGTGGGACAGGATAGGACACGGGCTGCTGCAAACAAGCCTGCCACCTGCGTGTGTGCGTGCATGCATGCGTGCGTGTGTGTGCGTGTGTGTACACGCACGTGTGAATGTGGAGGCCCTGCCCTCCATCAGGAAAGCACAGGGCAAAGGATAGAGTCCTGGAAGACACTCCTGGCAAAGCCAGGTGTATGCCCAGAGGCCCCAGCAGCAAGCCAGGGAAGTGCAAATTGAGCTGAGAAGGCTTGCTTCACACCTATGCCTGCTATTTATAAAACAAACAGGCCAGCTGGGTGTGGTAACACCGGAATGCAGCCTGTCTTGGGAAGGCTGAGGCAGGAGAACCACAAGTCCCTGCCTAGCCTGGGACACTTAGTGACTTAGGGCGGCTTGTCTCAAAATAAAAGCTGGGTTGGTGGCACAAGTCAGTAATTCCAGCCCTGGGGAGGCTGAGTAGGGGGGCTGCCATGAAGTGGAACACGGCATGGGCTGCACAGTGAGACCTGGTCTCTGAATTGATGTAGCTCATTATAAAGCCCTATTTTCAGTCTCCAGTGTCTACCCCACCAACCCCTGAGTGCTTGGGGTGCTGCTCGGGGCGCAGAGTGCTTACCTGGCATGCTCCAAGGACTGGCTTTGAGCCCCAACACCACAAAAATAAATGGAAAAAAAAATACAAGAAAAGAAAGCAAGCCAGGTGTGGCCACACATGTCTGAAGTCCTGCACGCAGAAGGCTGAGGCCCAGCCGGGACTGCAGGGGAGAGCCTATGTTTCTTTTTGTTTTTGGTAACAGGAATCAAACTCAGGACCTTGCACTCACCAGGCAGGCACTGTGCCACTGAAATATGTACCTGTCCCAAGACCCTGTCTTTTTATTTATTTGTGTGTGTGTGTGTGTGTGTGTGTGTGTGTGTGTGTGTCACTGGCGATCAAACTCAGGACCCTGCACTTGCCAGGCAGGCGCTCATGCTGCTAAGCTATCTCCCCAGCCCCTATTTATTTATTTTTGAGATGGGGCCTCACTGTGTAACTCAGGCTGGCCCTGAGCTCACTTTGCAGCCCAGGTTGGTCTCAGACTTGCAGCAATTCTCCTTCCTCAGCCTTACAGGTGTGCGCCACTGTGCCCAGTCTCAATTGCTGGCTCAGTGTGCCCCAGGGGCGGGGCTGGCCCGGGGATCAAATCCTTGGCCCCCGCGCCTGCTTACAGGTGCTTTAATCTGCTGAGCTATTTGGCCAGCCCTTATTTATTTTATTTTATGATACCTGGAACCGAATTCAGGACCTTGTGCTTGTGCATGCCAAGCAGGGTCTTGTGCCACTGAGCTACATCCCCAGCCCTCATGCCTCTCTTTAAAAGAGAGATGGATTACAAATACATGACACCACACGTGACTAAATCAATTTCTTTTTTTTCAGAGTTGATGAGCCCAAGGCCTTGACCAAGTGTGCTACCATGAGCTACACTCCCAGTACTGTCTGTTTGTTTTTCATGTATTTGGCACAGGATCTCATGACGCAGCTCAGACTCGTAGTGATCCTCCTGTTTCAGCGTCCCTAGTGCTGGGATTCTGACCTTGCTCAGTGGCCACTCAGTGCACCCAAGGTGGGGCTGGCACAGCATGTGGCACCGGGGATTGAACCCAGGTCCTTGTGCTTGCCTAGCTGAGCTATGTCTGTGGCCAAATTGAGATTGATTTTTTAAATTTTTTTTTCAGTACAGGGGAATCAAAGTCAGGACTTTGTGCTTGCCAGGCAGGTGCTTATACTGCGGGAGTTTTTTGTTTGTGTATTTGTTTTCTTTTTTGAAACAGGGTCTCACCATGTAGGGCAGGCTGGCTGTGGACTACAGCAATCCTCTTGCCTCAGCCTATGCAGTGCTAGGCTTGCAGTTACACGACACCAGGCCTGGTCCACGTTATCTTCCTCTCCTCTGACCTGTGTGCTGCGTAGACGCTCCCGAGACCAGGTCTGCTCCCTGCCCCCCACCCCCACAGCTCTGAGCTGTGGCTCTCTGTACCACTGGGAGCAGGCAGTTAGTGACACACAGTGACCAGGGGTGGGAGAGGCACATGTGGCCTGTGGCTGGCCACGTGGCACTGGTCGCCTTTTCACCTGGAGAGCCAAGCACTGGGCCAGCAGCCCTCTGTCTTTCTAGCCTGTGCGTCCCATCTAGAGCAGTGTGTGCCCCTCCTCAGGCACAAGGCAGGACAGTGTGGTTCAGGGTGTCTGCATGGCCAGATCCCTCCCAGGGCTCCGGCTGTGGGCCCAGAAGCCTATCAGGAGGGCCTAAGGCCAAGGAGATGGCTCAGTACAATAAGCACTTCCCTGGCAAGCGCAAGGGTCTGAGCTCAGTCCCCGGTTCCGCAAAAAAAAAAAAAAAAAAAAAAAGACCGAAAAAAGCCATGTGTGGTGGTGCACACCTATAATCCCAGCATTTGGGAGACTGAGACAGGAGATTTACTGAAAATTGGAGGCCAGCCTGGGCTACAAGGCCAGCCTAAACTGCATAGTGAGACAGAGACCCTGTCTCAAAAAGACAAAAATCCGGGCAGCCTCTGTTGCCAGGTTGTGTCCCAGACCAAGAGCACAGACAGCTTCTAGTGTGGGAATCCCGCCGGCTTCTCTTCCCAGCGGTGGGCTTTGGCCACATCTACTTAATTTCCTAGTCTGTGAAATGGAGATGGAATAGCAAGTGCCCTATAAGACCGTGTGGGGCAAATGGGTTAGTACCTGAAGGGCACGTGACACCCCCGTGCAGGGCCAGGCTGCTGTCTTAAGGGGATTCCTCCGGAGAACAAGGCACGCTGGTGCGCCGTTCCTTGCGCAAGCTCAGAGGACCGGCCAGGACCAGCCGCTGCGCGCAGGAGCTGTGCTGGCTGTGAGTCCTGACTTCCCCGACCTCTCCTCTCTGGCAGACTGATCGGCTTTTTCCCAAATGTCGGCAACGTTTGGGGCTTAGGATCTGCGATCCATTTAAGGCATGTTTCCTTACGTTTTGGGTTCTGGGCCGCCAATCCTGCCCCACGCTTGCTAAGCACGTGCTGCACCGCGCAGCAGAACAAACGCACCTCTTCCGCCCAGGGCCGGGCCGGGCCGGGCACTGCCATGCAGGTGTTGAAGGGTGTTCTGTGGTCCAGAGAAAGGGGATGGCGCAGCCGGCGGACGCCTGCCAGGGCCGCCGCACACACGAGTCGGCAGCGGAAGCCCGCGCTCCTCCGGGGCGGCCGGGGCTGCCTCGCGCCGCCCCCCACCTCCCCCATGGCCGGCCCCGCCCCCTCGAGTATCCCGGCCCACAAACAACCCCCGACTCACTCCTGGGCCGGGAGAGCTCCGCGCCGGCCTCGCCGGGCGGCTCAGGGTGCCAGCGCCCGCTCGACAGCCCCGAGGCCCGCCCCTGCCAAGCATTCAGTCCCACCCTCGCGGCCCGTCGGGAGGCTCGGACCCCGCAGGCCGGGCCTCGAAGGAAGCTACGCCCCCAGAGGCCCGCAGGCCCCGCCCCGCCCCCCTCAGCGGCCCGGTCCTCGCGGCCCCGCCCCCGCCGCCAGCCCACC